ACACGTCGAGCCAGCATTTAAAATTAAAAAATAGACTTTATTATTACTTTTTAAATTAAAGTATAAATTTTCTCACATACCCTTTGTTGTTATGCAAAACCAATACACTATAAGTGCGATGCACGGTTACCTACTTTATTTTTAAAATATATTTATGTATTTAAATTATCTTATATTATTAAAATTGTCGTGAAAATAAAATTTATATAATATTGAACACTTTCTTATGTACATCATTCTTAGTTTGATTATTTGGAACGTAAAATACTACATGAGTATTCAAATTTTATCTAAAATTAGATATTCTTAGTTATCAATTAACAATTTACATTTAAAAAAAATAAGGGATCTTATTTATTAAACAAAATTCTAGTAGAAAAAAGTAGAAAAATTATAATACACGCTATTTTTTTAATTCTAATTCAAAATTTTGATTAAGTAAAATTGAAATGAATCATTAATTTTTCTAAAAATGAAACCGATTTTTTCTACCAGTACACTGATTTTTTTACCAAACAAATTGATCCGAATGTTTAGTTTAAACAAAGTGAAAAGAGCCATCAATTTTTCCTAAAAATGCAACTGAATTTTTCTAACATTGCAAAATTTTTTTTCCCAATCAAATTGAATTGAAATTAATTTTAATAAAAGATCGGAATATTTTGTTAAAGATTTATACAACTGTTTCTTTCTAAAAACATTAATATGAACTTAACAAAAAAATTTATATGACCTTACTAAAATCTCGATAAAACATGGTTAAGAAAACATAAGAATCCAAAAAAATCGGTGCATTCAAATTTTAAAAAGTTGGACACGATTTGATTTGAGTTCTTTCCTAAACAATTGAATAAGTTTTGATTTTAAATGTCAAAGATGAACCAATTTTGTTACCAAAAAGTGGATATGATTTTGAATGTATATCCGTCCAAATATCAATTTTGTTTTAAAATAAAACTTTCACGTGATTTATCCAACTTGCCCACATTTTGAAAATAAAAAATTATTCAAAAAGACTGGAATAATTTGTTAAGTAGTGCTGTAAACGAACAAAATCGAACCGAGCTTGGGTTGTTCGAGCTCGTGTTCGTTTATGTTCGAATAGTGTTCGTGTTTCGTTTGTTATTTTTCGATCAAAAAAACGTGTTTGAATTCTTTCGTTTAATTGTTCGTCAAAGTTCGAGTTCGTTCGTGTTCGAATAATTTAATACATAAATTTTGTAAATATATTTGATTAACTCGAAATTTGTTCGTTCGAACTCGAAAATAAAAATATTTTTATATTTTATATTTTTTATTAGAAATATTATGTAAATATATAAAAAACAAATAAAATTATATATTAAAAATATTATATAAATAAATATAAAATTAAATTAAATTAAATTAAATTAATGTTCGTAGATTTGTTACACTTGCATGAAGTTTGTTATTGTCTCAAATTTACAAGTTTTTCCCTACTTCTCCAGGCTGCTAGTTAGTTACAATGTACATTTACTTTTTTGTCCTCTCTTTCTCCGCGCTAAAAACTTCCCTCTCCCTCACATTTGGCACATGCAATCAAATTCTCTCTGAGCAGGACCTCTGCGAAATCCTCTCAACAGCCACAGAGCGGCCGACGGCGGCGATTCCCGACGTGAATCGCCTCTTCCCAACCAGGAATTCTTCAATACAATGTAAAGCTGAAATCTATCCTGTCAGTTTTTTTTTTCTTCTATTGAAAAATGAATTGGAGCAGAAAACTTCACCTGTAATCCTTAAGTAGAGGAGGATTTTGTAAGTTTTTGAAAAAATGGAGACAATATGTTTCCATCGGTTTGAGAAACAATATTAATATTCTGTCTTGTGAAGAAAGTAAATATCATGATATTGATGTGACTCTGTCAGAGTCAGAATCGAATTCGATTAAGCTGAAATTCCAAAATTCTGATCTATATTTGGTCGGATATAAGCCTTTTGTTGGAGATAATTGGAACTGGATTAAGTGTTCCAATGACGAAAAAATGATTTTTCCTGTATCTCCGTACAACATGGCAAAGACGATGGGCAACTACGATGGGCTTCTGAATACGGCAGAATACAATACAGTGCAAGACATAATTCTTAGTTCATCCAGCCTTCAAAATGCTATCTACACTTTGGGTAAGAATACCCAGTCAGGAAAGGAGGTCGCTCAAGCGATTCTGCAGGTGCTGCTGTATTTGCCTGAATGTGCTCGGTTATCAATAATGGAAGAAGTGCTGGGAAAGAGTTTTGATTGTTATGAACCAGTTTATTACAATATGAACATGCATTCACGCGTTACGAGCTGGAAAAGACTATCAACGATGGCTGCAACTAACTTTCCCGATAACGACAAGCCGAAAGGTATCGAGTCGCTGGAGCTGATTTGTGAAAACGCTTGTTTTCACATTCGGTGATGTACGCGACGAACTTGAGCTATTGCACGGGAAGGCATTGCTCGACGCTGATGTTGTTGAATTGGGGCTTGATTCTAAGAGCAAATCGATTTACTATGAGTTGAAAGTTGCACATAGAAGCGAACAGGTAATCGAGTTAGTTAAGTGCCTTTAATCGAGTTAAGATACTTCAAGGAATATTGGCTATTGGCTGTTTTTCCATTTATGCTTATATATGTTACACAAAGAGATAAGGTAGACACATTGAAGAAACTTGTCAGGAAATTGAACAATCAGCTCCCGTGCAATGAAGAGCTTCAGGCGGCGAGGAAAGTGCTCATTGAGGTACTGGTTCAAACTCTGAAAAAGGATCTTTGTTCGTATTTTATTGTGAAGCTATTTGTATCCTCTATATTTGTTTGCTTCATTTATTGGATAAGCATGTGCACCTATTGCCACTTCGTTTGTTTGAACTCATTTGATGCACTTGTATGTCTTTATCAGTGTTTGACAGATATACTAAGCAGCCTCCCTGTAGTGTACATTGGAATAAAAAAAATGGGCGCGATTGACGACAAAGCTTTCACAACAGCATGTCGAAAGAGATTTTTGGCTGGAGAGGCTGAGGTCAAGGCTGTTCAAATGTGCTCTATATGGCAAGAAAAAGTGGAGAATGTTGAGTGGCGCCAGATCCGTGTGGTCAAGGATAAGGATGACAAGCATGCCAAGGTTCACTTACTCTTTTGCTTTCTTACACACACACACACACACACACACATATTCTTTTCTCGATTTGACCAAATTTATAATGTACTGTAAAGGGAGATCAAGGAGGATGATGATGAGCTGTGGGAACTTCGGGAAGAATGGGGCGAAAATATTTACGAGGATGTGACCTGTTTCGTGTATTTCCTATTGAGAATTTCCTCCAAGCTACAAATCTAACACGTTTTGAGATACATCTTAGAGTTTAGTAAATTTGAAAGAAAATTTAATGACCT